ACTTTGTGTTTTCTCAAATACATTGGTTCGCTCCTGACACGATAAATAAATAAACAAATTGTCGTAACGCTTTCTACAAGCCCATGGAACTGTTTCAATTATTAGTTGGAACGCTCTCGCTCTCTCTCTCTCTCTCTCCGCAAATAACAGCAAATATGCTTGCTTTTGGAAAGGAATCTTGAGATGATACAAGAATTCTAGGGAGAGATTTTACGAGGATAAAGACATGAAGCTTGGCACACTTAAATTAGGCCGAAAGCAGTAAACCAGCAGTCGCTGTGCTAGGCTCTGCCAAGTCTCACGGCTTCTGCCAGAGTGAAAATGTTGGAACAACATTTCTTCTTGTTTTCGTTTTAGCTAGCACATGAAAAAAATGTTTACAGGATTGACTCACAAACATATGGGAGATAACTTGAATACATTGCACCCTCCAGTATGACGGAAACAACTGTGGGCTCTGAAATGGCTATGGTCATTTTTGGATTTTCCATTTGTTTCTATGGAAACCCTGGAACGGAAGGGAAGTTGCGCCAGGAAAAGTAAAGCTCGGAGCCCTTGTAACAATGTTTTTGTTAGTAAAATAGCTATTAGCATTTGCCATTCCCCTTGCCAACAACACCCAATAGGCCCGAGAAGGACAGTAAAAATCTGTGAACACAAAACCAAAGCCAGCTAAAACAGAACTGCAGTGCATCTCTCTTCATATAAAAAAAGGAAGGAAACCACTGAAGGTCATTTTATACTGTCAACACAGGGCTGTAATACATTGTGTGTATGTGGCTTGAAGTTGCTGGTCGGCTTATGGTGACTCTGAATTTCATAGGGTTTTCTTAGGCAAGGAATACTCAGAGATGGTTTAGCCCAAGCATGAGCAAATTTCGGCCTTTAGGTGTTTCAGACTCCAGCTCCCCACAATTCCTGCTGGCTGTTAGAAATTGTGGGAGTTGAAGAAAAAACATCTGGAGGGCTGAAGTTTGCTCATGCCTGGTTTAGCCAGTTCCTTTCTTAGCCTACGGCACCTGATGTTCATTCAAAGTACCCTAAAGACCCTAGATCCTGTCTGATCCCAGAAGTTAAGCAGGGTCATCCCTGATTAGTTCTTTAATGGGAGACCACCAACAAATAACCGGTGAGGTGGAATATTTTTCAGAGGAAGTATCTGAGAAAACTACTTCTGAATATTCCTTGCCTTAAAAATTCTTGGAAATTTATGCACACCATGCAAATCTACAAATTTGATGGCAGTAGCAGGCTGTGTTCTAAATGGGCCTATCAAGTTGTCAAGAAAAAAGTCTTCAAGACTGAAAATCTGAGTTGATGCCTCCAGGTAGCGTAAATACTGTATCTACTTGCAAATATGTATGCTTTAATTGTTCAGTAAGCAAATACTACTTATGCTTGTAAATGACTTAAAAGTTTGGGCATGGCTCCTCTGTGATTTAAATCAATTTAACACATTTAGTTACAATTTATCTCATATTGGTAAGTCAAGTAATGAGAAATCTTGGATGCCTGAATGAGTCTATAAATCAGGATAGGTAAATTGTGGCCCCGGAGTCCCTAGTGGTGCAGCAGGTCAAATCACAGAGCTGCTGATTCTTTCTGGCTGAAAGGTTGGTGGTTTGAGTCCGGGAAGTGGGGTGAGCTCCTGCTGTTAGCCCCAGCTTCTGCAAACTTAGCAGTTTGAAAACGTGCAAATTTGAGTAGATCAATAGGTGCTCCATGCAGTCATGCCAGCCACATGACCTTGCAGGCATCTACAGACAGTGCTGGCTCTTTGGTTTAGAATTGGAGATGATCACCACACCCCAGAGTCAGACATGACAAGACTTCATGTCAAGGGGAAACCTTTACCTTTACATTAAAGTTTGGCCCCACTTTTGCAGTTCTTGAAAGAGTCCAGCGGTCTCCAAAACCCCTTTTAAAACTGTTGACAGATCTTTAGAATGTGCCTGAAAATATGTGGGAGCCACATGTGTACACCTAAAAAAAAACCTTTCTTCTGCCTCCCTCAAAATCACAACAGGGAAATAACATTTCTACTTCTTGTAATTTTGAGAAGATACCTCCATTTTCCTCTGTATTATCTCTCAATATGGTGACAGAAATATGGTGCATTTCTTCCCATTGTCATTTGGAGAGTGACTACAGAAAAAAATGACGTAATTGGACTTGGGTGGTGCTTTTCATGAGGAAATCTGTCAGGTGAGTGGGTTCCCTCTGTATGTGTGTGTGTGTGGCATTTGTGCTACCAAGAGTATTTAGAGAACTTAAATGTTTAAACAGAAAATAAAAGTATATTTATCTTTGTCTTTTATGCAGACGGCAAAATAGTACCCTAGTCCAACATTAAATGAAACGTTTCTTTTCATTGTTGGCAGCAAAAAGAATTGTTAGATTTTATATTAGGCTCCCAGCTGAAATCGCTGTTTGTTAGATGTAGCTTAGCTTTTTAAAAAAAGACAAATTCAACAATTTCTTGAACATTTGATCTATTGGCTCTCCAATCTGCCAAAGCACAAGGGAGGGAATGCTGTGTTCTAGGTCATGTGTACATTGCACAGCCCTGCATTTTTGTTTGCAGATAGCACTTCAAAACCCCTAATGTAAACAAAGCAAGCAATGGCTCCCTGAAAATGCCATTGCTTCCCTTGTGTGCTCTTAGGGGTTTACTAGTGCGGATGTTCACACAGCTGGCCTAATTACTATATCCAGAAGATTATGCTCTTCGTGTACCATACAAGGTGTAGATTTAAATGAGCTTCCATGTTTTCATGAGCCATCACTTTATGAAACTTCCTTTAACCGTTCTTGTCTTTCTGATGACCTTCTATACATGTAGCAAAACGTATACAATGAAGTGTCATCCAGACTCCAGGTAGAGGCAAGGGGACATATGTTTTTGAAAATTCCCCATATGATTTTGATCTCTGCTTGTTTGCTTTTTTCAAGAGCTAACATAACAAGGAATGGGCATGACTAGTAATTGACATAATTATTCTAACTGAGCCACACACAGAGAGGTATATAACATATGTAATGCTTCTGACATAAGCAGCTTAAGCAGTAGTGAGTGGAGGTAGGAGAGAGGGAGAAGGAGTGAGCTATATCCAAGATAAAGTAATACAGTCTGCTTTCATTTTGGTGTATGTGTAGTTGGGCTGAGAGAAGATTAAACTGCCAAAGAAAATGTACATCTATAGTTCAGAAGGACTGGTTGCTTAGCTATAATACTTTTTCAGTGATCATCTGTGAACCCACACAGATCGGATTTACTGTGCCTGCACAATGCACCATTTCAAATCTTCTAGGTATATGATGTAAGATGATGTAAGATGCAGATGATGTAAGATATGTTTGTGTCAATACATCAGTGGAGTGTGAGAGGGTGCTCAGTTTAATTCTGCCTTGCTTGTTCAAGCAGTAGACCACAGTTGTGTTGTCAGAAAGTACCTGAACAACCTTGCTTTTTAGGAGAAACTTGCATGCATTCTCTGTGGCTAATATCTCAAGAGTGTTGGTGTGAAGAATGCTCTCTCAGATGTCCAGCAGCCCATCATAGAGAGACTATCTTTGGGACCAATGTTGTCAGCTGCTTTTGTGTTGCCTAGATCAAGCTACCATTCCAGGAACCAATGAATACTCAGTGCCAATTGTTTTTTTGTGCTGGCCAAGGTCTTTAGGCACTGCACCCAGTGTGCTGATCACCACTGCAAATGCCTTTACTGGCTTGTGCCAGAGTCTTTGCAGTTCAAATCCTCATATTGTGCCAGCTTTTCTAGTTGTTTCTCGACAATTATGCTGTTGCCTGGGATTGCAACATTGTCTATTATTATTATTATTATTATTATTATTATTATTATTATATAATTGTTTCTATTTACTCATGCTTTATCTCCTGCTTTTGGTCCCCTGTGACAAGCCCTCTGAACATGTCACCCCATTAGCATATTAACAAGTTTTGAATTTCTATTGTTATTCACAATACAACCTGCATATTCATAGCTCTAAAGGCCTGTCACTAAGCTCTTCATACATCTAATGAGGTAGTCTTAGTCTATGAAAGCTTATGCTACCAACTGTTTTCTCTCAATTGGTCTCAAAGGTAACACAAGATCCCTTTGCATATTGATCCAGACTAACACACCTAGGTTTTTGAATGAATAATAGCCAAATTACTATACAGCCTCCATCAACACACATGTTGTTGTTAAATGGCCAGCATTTGGAAGGTTGCTTAGATCTTGTAGCATGGGAACATTGTTTTGTGTTATATTTGTGTGGTCAGTTCGGTTACTGTTTGGGTTTTTCTTCTGCTACTATTAAAATTGTATTAAGCCAATAAAGAGAAAAAGGCTTCCCACAGAGGTAGCTCTACTGGGGAAAATTTACTTTAAAAAGACTACAAAGGTGAAAGGCAGTTTATTTTACCTAACCTTATTTGTTGATAGTTATTTTTGGTGCTGTACCGAACTGGCTAGAGGAAAGATGTTTGTTGTTTATTCATTCAGTTGCTTCCAATTCTTCATAGCCTCATGGACCAGTCCACGCCAGAGCTCCCTGTTGGCCATCACCACCCCCAGCTCCTTCAAGGTCAAGCCAGTCACTTTAAGAATAACATCCATCCATCTTGCCCTTGGTCGGCCACTCTTCCTTTTTCCTTCCATTTTCCCCAGCATCATTGTAGCCAACTGTAGTTCTTGATATATTTTGGGGCTGCATATAAGGAAGAGTCTCAGATTCTCTCTCTGCCTAATCTGTTTTAAAGAGGTGTTTGCTACTAAAGAGGAGGAAAATAAGAAATTAGCTTCTATGACATTCGAATAAGTGGACTGGCCTGTTTCAAAGTAAGTACACAGTCACTGCAAATGGGCCATCTTGTGCTTCCATCATGACTTCCTGTCATTGTGAAGTACAGATGTATTTTGAAGGAGACACTATGGGAAAATAGCACTCAGAAATAACTAAACCTATTCTTATTTTTCTCTCTCTTATGTTAGGTCCTCGTTGGCCAACTCTATACAGCAGAGAAGCTTGTAATTGAACACGAACAAAAAGTCTGATACAGGATGAAGGCCTCTTCCGGGAGCCCTAGCGGACCAGCTTCAGTATTGTATAACACACGCACAGATTTTTTTACTTGAACACATTGTTTGAGCTATCTTGTTTTTCTTCTTACAGAATATATGTAAGACTTAAGACTGTATTCTGTCTTAATAGTGTACACTGCATAAAATATTAGAAGCATGCTTTCTATGTATTGGTAAGGTGAGGAATACATTTTGTTGGGGCTGAACATCACTGTCGGCTGGTATTCTCAAACCATTAGTTTTCTTGACAATAAAATTCCATAAGCTAATGTGTTTGCTTGCTTCCTGGATGAACAACAGTTGAATAAATAGTTGTTGCCTTTGGGTTTAAATTGTAATGACAAAATATTTCACGATGCCTAATTTCAGAAATTAACATTCTGGTTACAATCCTGAAATGCCTTTAATAAGTCTAAGGTTCGAAACTTTTGTGTCCAGTTCAACACTTTTGTAGAAGATAAATGTTTATAAGTATTGACAACTATAGTTTTGTTGAACATTGTGTGTCTCAGACTATTAAAGGAAATCAGCACTTTACTTTTCCATCTGTGGAATAAATAAAGTAGTACTTTATTTTAAAAGTATCTGAGTAAAGTGTGTTGTCAGGAACTGAAATCTCACTGTGTCTCCCAGTCTACAGATATGCACATCTTTGATATTGTCATATCAGAAAGTAAATATCACATCTTCCACATTCTGCAGTCTTAGGTTTGTATCATATTTCAGTCTTATGGAGGCTATAGCTCTTTGCAGCAGCAGTCACCAGAAGTGTTGATTTGTTTATAATTAGCTTATCTACCCAGAGTAATGCTATTTATTAAAAATCCTCTTTGTTTGTCCATCCACCTAAAAGGCACTAGGTCTGGCCTTTTCTTGGAAGTCTCACTCTCTCAGGCTGAAGGAGCAAGGTGAAGATACACACACACCTCTTCCAAAATATAAATATTCATCAAATATAAGTAGTCATTAAATAAAAAAGGCTTTCATGGCTGGAATCACTGGGTTTCTGTGAGTGTTCCAGGCTGTATGACCATGTTCCAGAAGCATTCTCTCCTGACATTTTTGCCCACATCTATGGCAGAAATCCTCAACAGGACTCACAACCATAGAGGGCCATCTAGCACCTCCCAACAAAGGATTTCTCTAGGCAGGAAGCAGTCAGTCTTTGAAGCTGCAAGGCTATTAAATGCTAATCAAGGTGGCCAGTTGCAACATTTGCACTTGCCTCAAACAGACAAAGAGTTCTTTCTCCCACTCTGGACATTCCACAGATATATAAACCCCACTTTAGTTTTCAACAGACCTCACAACCTACTGGGGATGCCTGCCATAGATATGGACGAAACGTAAGGAGATAATGCTTCTCGAACATTGTCATACAGCCCGGAAAACTTACAGCAACTCATTCATTAAATTCCTTACTATCTTATGGGGTGAATATCCCAACTGTGGCCTTCAGGGCGATATTTACCTTGTAGTAGGCCTCAATCTTGGATTTTTCTTTAAAAATGCCATTTGTCTGCCATGACTGTAGCGACAGTTTCCTGCTCACCCACTAAAAGGGATTCCTGTTGATGCTCTAGCCTTCTTCCATTCGTCATATCTTCTTTTGGTAGCTTTTCTATCCATGTACTGCTCTCTGGTGGTTGCACATACTTATTCATCTTTGAGACCCAGGCTGAAAAAAGGTGGTATTTGAAGCCCGGCCAGTATGTTAAATTGAACCACAAAGGTTATGTGTACCAAATTTAGTCTAGATCCATCAAGCCATGCAGGGCCCTTTGCAAAACACACATACATATTTTCATTTATATAGAGAGGCACAAGAAATTTACAAAATGCAAATGTGAGAAAATAGATAATTGAGAATATTATTCTGGTACAGTTAAAATAACTTAAATCTATTCTCGAGTGGTATATTTAACTTAGGTTCTAAGTGTTTCAATACAAGTTCAATTTCAAGTTGCTAAGAAATCAGTCTCTTAATGAGACACGAAAGAAACCTCTGTGTGTTTGTAGGGAGTGGTAGCCCTTTGATCCCTGCAGCAGGCACTGGCTCAAACAAGTCATATAGAAATACCACTGCAGTACTTCCTTCCAGTATTCCTGCCCCACTTTCCCTGAAAGGGGAGAGACACCAGTTACTAGTCATGCCTTTTTTTCATATAGGAAGTGATTGTTGAACTGTCTGCCTTTGTAGTTCCTCTGATCAGATGTCCCTACTTTGAGTAAAAACCTTTGTATGAGTTAGCAGAGCTTTTCCAGTTTAGTAGTTTCTGCTATTCTTCGGTATTCAAGAGTTCAGTCTATTGACCACAGCTGCTATTCAATATCATATTGACTATGGAAATTGGATTTTCTTCAGGACTATACTAGTTTGGTAGTTTTCTTATCAAATACTACCATAGTCTATATTTTTTTAAAAGAACCACTTCCATGCATGATTTTGTTGAGTAATACCACTGCACAAGCAGGAAAAAATCACTTCAGTCTCCCTCTCAAGTTCCCTTTTCATCATATTTACATTATGCCTGCACCAACCTTTCCCTTTAACAAATGTTACTATTCATATAAAACATATACCCTGAGATCTGAAATAAATGGAATATATTTTGTTCAACAATTGATGTAGCACACAAAGACTTGTTGTGTATATACAGTCTCAGAAAGTTTGTGGGAAAACTTCCCAATTACAAGAGGACATTTGTTCAGCACCATCAATGGGACCATAGAATACAAAATTAAATACAGGTAAGTCATGAGAAAGTCTGGAGCCCTTGGTGGCGCAGTGGGTTAAACCCCTGTGCCGGCAGGACTGAAGACCGACAGGTCGCAGGTTCGAATCCGGGGAGAGGAAGATGAGGTCCCTCTATCAGCTCCAGCTCCTCATGCGGGGACATGAGAGAAGCCTCCCACAAAGATGATAAAAACATCAAATCATCCAGGCGTCCCCTGGGCAACGTCCTTGCAGACAGCCAATTCTCTCACAGCAGAAGCGACTTGCAGTTTCTCAAGTCGCTCCTGACACAACAAAAAAAAATGAGAAAGTCTGAATTCTAAGAGGTGCAAAACTAATGAAAGATAGAACAGATATTTTGCTACTATTGAAAAGATGCTCATCCATAAAGGTTGAAAAATCAGGGCTAAGTTTCAAAACAGAATGGAGCAATCACAGAACTCTTAATGCAGCATGTATGTTTAAGAGCAAACCTAAGGTTGCTTGGGTTGTTGTGAGCTTTCCTGGCAGTATGGCTATGTTCCAGAAGCATTCTCTCCTGACGTTTCACCTGCATCTATGGCAGGCATCCTCAAAGGTTGCGAGGTCTGTTGGAAACTAGGAAAATGAGCTTGCTTGTTTTGGATCACTTAGCTTCACTTCTGTAGTGCTTTTTCCTTTGAGAATGTCATACTAATTGGCTTTTGAAGATGTTTTCCTTATGGGAAAATCATAATGGCCAGAATCCTTTAATGATGTGTAAGCACTGTAGTCGTGATGCTACACAGTTGACCCCTCTTAGCCACACTTACCAGGAAGCAGCTGCTGGGATCAACAGGGTCTGTTCCCCTGTTATTTGGGAAGCAGATCCAATAACCTCTTTATCAAGTTTAAAACTCTGTCCACCAAAATTAGACTGTTTGCTATTTCAAAGGTCAAAAGAGTTCTGGAATACAAAATCTAAACCACATTCTGAAGCTTGCCAAAAAATTCAACTGCTTAAGGATCACACCTGATGAATAATCTTTTCCCCTTGTAATGACACCATTTGGGGATAAAGATGCATCTGAGTAGTCAGCAAAAGGCCCAAAGAGCTTATAAAGAATGAGCTATGACCACAGGCCATTTTTATTCTTATGCAGTTAGAGAAAGCAGGCCTGCTGGATGGGAGCCCTACGCAGCATCCGTCTCTGGCAGCCTACCAAGGGTTCAATAGAAGGGAGATTGCTTATTATGCAGAAACAGGGATTGTGGAGCACCTGGCAAGCATTCAGTCATCGGCCTGCATTCAGCTGGATCCAAAGAATCTTGCATCAGGTGGCATGAGGCAGCACCCTCAGTCAGATGGCAGAAGGTCAATGAATATGTTTACATTATTAATAAAGGCTATTTTTACTACCAAGGGCAGATGGGTGATAACTGATTATCAAGCTCAGGAAGCTCAAATGCCTCCCTTTCTCCTCTAGTCCTCAAAATGGGGACATGAAATGACATTGCATTACTTTCTATTGACTTTTGAGAGGGACCACAGAGGAAAATAAAGGCATTTGGTGGGAATTAAGGGATCCTGGGGTGCTTGTGGGGGTTGGGGATATTTTCATGAGTTCTCACAAGTTTAGAGGCCTTTTTGCGTGGGTCTGGAGGGAGGAGGTAACTGGAAATTGTGCCAAAAACACTTCAGAAGAGGTAAATAATAGGTTTGGTGGTCATCAACTTATTTCCCATATTTTCTATTTCAGTCTCAAAATGTATTCTAGAAAAACAATACTTTTAAAACTTAAAACAACAAGTTTCTGTTCCATTAGACAAACTCTGACAGTCTGTACTTAATTTGAATCTAGCAAAGTGTTATTGGCTATAGCTCATGAAATCTCTGGCTCCTTTTCCATCTCCAGTGCCACTTTGTTATGTTTACACAGTCTTTGTTAAGATACAAATACACACAAACTGAAGAGAAAAACTGTTGCAGTGACATGCAGCAGGCAGTGACCTCTAGACATTGGCAAAATGCTTTTTTATTCATAAAATTCTACAATGTTTGCTTATTGAGTCAACCCATAAAACATCTAAAGACACATTTAACCCAAACTCATCTCCCCATCCCTATATAAAGGCACAAAACAGAAATGTTTTTGACATTCCTCAGGAAGGAACATGCTATCATTTATACACAGAAGGCAGGCAATACATCAGAAGGGTTTGAGCACTTCAAAGATTATAGGGCCATTCCTTAGTATTTTATCTTTTGAATCCTATTTTGGCAAGATTATTCTCAGCAAGGAAATCCACTGTCTACCTTTCAGTGGCTCTCAATCTGTGGGTCCCCAAGTTTTTTGGCCTCCCAGAAATCCGAGTTAGTTTACCAGTTGTTAGGATTTCTGTAAGCTGAAGGCCAAAACATCTGGGGACCCACAGGCTGAGAACTACTGCTTGTTCTTTCCAGTTTTGCCAGAATAATCCCAGCATGCTGATTTTCTCTACTTGCTCTGAAGGATCTCACTCTGATCCCACCCGGCTGAGACCTTCCAGCCTTCTTTCTTGTTCACCTCTCATTAACCCAGGCAAGAGCTGGACTTTGGTAGCCAGCTTATAGAATTAGCAGAGACAGAAGAGTTGAAAAATGCAGGCACTTGGAATTGGCACAAATTCAATTTCTCCCTAATTTTGCATTTCTCAAAATATCTGCACAACCAAGGCATGGAAGGACACTTTTTGACTCCCAAATTCCCCATCCAACATGTGCGTTAGCGATACTGGTTGATGGATTTTTAAGTTGTAGTCTCAACATAACCTTTCCAAGCTCTATCCTATGTCATACATAACGTCTATATCCATTCTTTGTAAGCAATTTCCCATGGGAAGATACAAGCTGGCTTATCTTCTTTCTAAAAATGGCAAAATCATTCCCTTTTAAGGCAGCATTGGCAGCAAAGGCAATGTGGAAGACCTTCCAGTTCATTGCTAGTTCTTTGGCACGGTATCTTTTTTTGTCCAAACAAAAGGAATAGGTGACATTTATTTATATACTTGTGCTTGCTTATTCAATGGCTAAAACATTTTAGAAATCAACAACAGAAAACCTGCAGTTACAATACAGCATTTAAAAACAGTGTCTAGAATGGGTTCTTTCCTGCTTGTTGGAGAAAGCTTCTGTTCTGGCTGGAAAAAGTCTGTATTTTTTTAAGAATACAGAGAAAAACACAAGCCAGTGCAGAGCTTGGTAAGTGTACATATTTCCCATGTTATAACCAGAAGGGTTTCCTTCCAGTACATTTCAACTTTGATCCCAAACAATCTTCAGCTGATGAAGTCCAAGGTTATTGCATGATTCACTGTCAGCCTGTCTATGCATCCAAACCAAGACAGACACTTAACTCTTTAGGAACACCATGACATTTTTAAACAATATCCAAAATCTTTTCCCCCAATGTATGTTAGGTCTAAAAAGGTTACATTCTACATATAGCTTACAAAGTCTGGATTACAATGCACAGAAGAGCAGTCTTTAATCTATCTCTTACTGCAAGGACACCATAACTTACATGTACATATTGGGGAACCATGCCTAGATATCTTTCAGACTACATAATTATAACACTATGGTCCCACTTTAATATCCTATAGTATCCTGGGATTTGTAGTTGGTAGGTGCTCTCTCGCTGAGAACTCTAAATGTCCCTCTCTAAACTGCAAATTCAAGTATTCCACAGGATGTTGCCAAGGTAATTAAAGTGGAATCGTAGCGTTATAATTGTGTTGTCTGAAAGGTGCTTAGACCCTGATCTAGACATGGCTAGGAAAGGGCTCTTAGGACCCTTCCACACAACCATATAACCCAGAACATCAAGGTAGAAAATCCCACTATATCTGCTTTGGACTGGGTTATCTGAGTCCACATTGCCATATATTCCAGTTCAAAGCAGATAATGTGGGATTTTATTCAGCTGTGTGGAAAGGGCCCTAGATTCATATTTACAGAACATGTTGCTTGCACAGCCCCACTGTAGTCACTCTGCTAACACTGTTTAAATTGTCAATAGCTCTGGATTACAAAAAGATGAAGTCACAGTAAGACATGGCTTTAAGATGTGAATAGCCAAGCATGGATTCACAAATGTTATTCTTGCCCAAACATCCCTTCATGTTGGGGGTTCTACCAGCCAAAGCAGTAGTCACATAGCAGGCTCCATTCAAACAAAAAGCAGGTGCTTTGTACTACTAAAGTGCCACTGCACCTGTCATAATTTGCAATAGTTACATTTGGTATATGGGTGTCAACCTATATACTTTCATATACTGTAGAACACACCCTCTATATCACATCAGGGCGATAAAGAGGGTGTGTTTTGTAGTATTGTTTTCTCAGAACTCCAGATAGAAAAGAATCCAACAATACAAGTCTGATAAAGAGAATTTATAAGAAAGCATGGAAATCCACACTTTTGCTTCTAAAAGGCAAATTGATAATTTACCCCATCTCATTCATGAAAATTTCTATCATAATTCAGGAACAATAACAATACAATAGTACTTATAGTACAATACAATGAGTAAGCAGGCTTTTAAAGCCTGAATCTTACTGATTAGTCCACACTTGAGTAGACTCATCGAACTGTGAATTAATGCATAAGTAAACTCCACTCATTCAACAAATCGAACAATGGGATGCAGTCCTTAGACCATGATTCACTAACCATTTAACTCAATAAGGCACCAATTAAGTAGTGATTGGATTGTTCCCTCTATTTTAGCAGCTAATTACCCAAAATGTGTGTTCTTCAGGCAGAGGGTGAGTTGCGGTAAAGTGACTGCTAGCTTAATAAGCCACTTAAGGTTGTAAAAGTGCATTAAGTTTCAAAGTGAACGTAAACCCAAAACTGGAGACGTGGGGCACCCAAGTGAAAAGGATTACGCTAAAAGTGACAAAACAGGATCTATTGTGACAGTTTTTTGTCAATGTGATTCATCTCAAAGGATCGCTAAAAAGGGAAGCTTTCAAATACTGAGCAAACAGATGCACCAATTTGCACGTTCCAAGGGTGGTCAACTTGATACATGATAGTCCACAGCTTGTTTTAAATCCTGCTAGTACATTTCACAAAGGCACTGTGCACAGCCAACTATACATACTAAGCCTTGAATAGCTTTTTGTTACTATAATTTTCAGAAGTAACTTTCCCAAAGTCTCGAAAGTAGGGAGACAGTCCAGACTGAGCATCTAAATTTGAAGAACTAGCCTTCTGTACTTTCAACACTTCTATGGCAGACAGACTTCCATCCACCTTCTTTTGCACCTTCTTACAAGCCCTGGGGCCCTTCTATCTTAGGCATAGGAAGAATTTTGAAGTCAGTGAGTAATGGAGGTTTCAACCCACTCTGAACTGTGTAGGACACACATAACTCATACCTTTCGCAGACTCTGAGAGCACATATGGTCTGATTTAGCTAACATGTTTAGTCTAGGACAGAGACTCAAAACCTTAGTGCAAACCAAACAAACACACAAAGTTCCTTTCAAAGAGCTCAGACTTTCTCTCCAATTCTGTCAAGACTGGGCTATCTCCCAACATATTGCTCCAAGTTTATGTCGGTGACCACTGGGTCCCTTAGTGCTTCCTACACAAAGTGTCCAGGAAAAAATAAAAGGTACAAGTCAGAAATAGCTTTTTCAGGTTGCAAACTTTTGCCCCTGTGGAGACATTGTCCTCCTGGAACAGCAAACTCCCTCCATCCCATCTCTCTACATATGAAGAAGGGGAAGTATATTACAACAATGTCACTGTATTCACTTGTCAACTCCATCCACCCAGTTGCAGGGAGTTACTTGGCACAATCAAGGCAAGAGGATTTTGCCTTTATCTCCGAGGCTGGCCATTACTGTCACAGTATCTTCTTGCTGGTGACATTGTATTGGAACAGTAACCCCCCTCCTTTCCTTCTCTTTCGATAAGAAGAGGGCCCACATCACTGTATCCATTTCTCAGCCCCATCTGCCCAGTTGCAGTGAGCTGTTTGGCCATTACTTTCACAGTTGTTCCTGGAACAAACTCCCATCCTTTCTCTTTATATATGAAGAGGCAAGGATATCACACACACGTCTCTGTATCTGCATGTCAACTACATCCACCTAGTTGCAGGGAGTTGCTTGGCACAATCAAGGCAAGGGGAGACCCCGTTATTTCGAGGCAGTCCCCAAGTTACAAACAAGATAGGTTCTGTGGGTTTGTTCTTAAGTTGAATTTTTATGTAAGTCGTAACAGGTACATTCCAGCCTCTCTCTCTCTCTCTCTCTCTCTATCTATATATATATATATTTATATAGCTTTAGATAGCATAGGGACGGGTCAACACCCCTGTGGTGTTCGTTTGGCTGTTCAATAGACTTCACCTCACTTACTTTCCCTGCGATAATTGGATTTCGGAAAAAAAGTGGCTTTTTGTGGAAACAAAGATTAGTGATAGTGGAAACACACTTTCCCCATGATCACTCTTTCAGGAGCAAATTTCCCTTACCTATAAAGCCCTAAATGGTTCAGGCCCTGCTTATCTTTGTGACTGTATCTCTTCCTATGAACCAGCGTGGGCTCTAAGATCTGCTTAGGAGGCCCTCCTCTCACTCCCTCCTGCCACAAGCACGGTTGGTGGAGACATGGGAGAGGACCTTCTCTGTGGTGGCCTCCCAGCTCTGGAACTTTTTCCCCAGGCAAATCAGATTAGCCCCCACCTTGTTCACATTCCGTAAATACTTGAATACTTGGATGTTCCAACGTGCCTTTGAATAGTTTAGCTTGCAACCATCCCTTTCCAGCCTTAATTTATTTGTTGTTCTGGTTCTCCAGCACTTTATTCCCAGCCTGGTCCTATTATCCTGTGGTTTTGCCCAAGCCCTGCCCTTCCCTAGTAAATCAGATTATGCCCACTTTTCGATTTTCTGATGTTGATTGTTGTATTTTGATGATGCTGTTACATTCTCAGTTTTAATTCTATGAATCTTATTGTTTTGCTATGTATTTTAATTTTGTACTTTGAACTCTGTTGATTCTGGACTTGGTCCCAATGTAAGCTGCCCTGAATCCCTTTGGCGAGATGGAGGCGGGTTATAAGAATAAAGTTATTATTGTTATTATTATTCTCTCATTTGCTATTGTCTCACCCCCGCTCTTAACTATGATTTGTATGCAAGTCAGATATTTGTAACTTGGAGACTGCCTGTACTTTCATAGTATCTTCACACTGGTAACAATGTTTTGGAAGTCGCACTGTCCTTTCTCTCTTAATATATGGAGAGGCAAATATATCACACAAACATCCTTGTAGCCACAAACTCCGCTCCATCCACAAAAGTCGCAACCATCAAGCCAAGGGGAAAGTATTTCTGATGATGTTCTGGAACAAAAAGCGGAAAGGATAACATATATACTCTTGTATCCACATCTCAACTCTGTCCGTCCATGTAGTTGCAAGGAGTTGCTTGGCACAATGAAGCCCTTAGGGAAGACCTCTTTATGTCTCTTCTCGGTGTCTTCTCACTGTTTTGTCATCATGAAAGGCCACGTGGATCCAGAATAGGGCTGCATAGTCGCTTAGACATACTGCCTCTTGTCCAGGACAGATTGCCCAGGTGAGGATACTCCATTTCTCTGGCCCGCACTCCTCAACTCTATCCACCTGCTTGTACAGGAAAGTGCTTGGCATCATCAACTGCTTGGCACAATCAATGGGAGGGAAGACAGATCGCTTTGTGTCTTCACTGGATGAAACCCAAAGGCACAGGCTGTTTTGAGGGATCCCCTCACATGGTAGAATCCTAGAGTTGGGAGAAACCCCAAGGGCACCTAGTCCCACCTCTTTCTGCCCTATAGGGACATAGACTCAAATCATCTAAGGGAGGAGGCTGAAGTGCAGAAGGCGTTGTGGGAGGGCTGAAGCCAATGGGGATTCCCCAATGCCCCTTGTCCTTGGTCTCAGGGCTGGTGGACGCTGCCAGGGAAGCCGCAGGGTGTAGCTGGTGCCTCCACTGTTGTCCCAGTGCTCCTCTTGAGACAAGTATAGTTCCAGAATAGGCCTGCCTAGTCACTTGGACATACTGCCTCTGGAAGGCAATCATCCTTGCTCTCCTGAAGATGCTCCACTTCTTGGCTCCATCCACCAACTTGTGTGCAGGGGAAGTGCAGGAGGAGGCTGACCCCTTTGTGTCTTCCTCCTGGATGAAACCCAAAGGCACAGGCTGTTTTGAGGGATCCCCTTGTATGGTAGAATCCAAGAGTTGGGAGAGAAGAGACCCCAAGGGGATGGAGTCCCACAGCTCTCTGCCCTGCAGGGACCTAGGCTCAAAACATCCGGGGGAGGAGGCTCAAGTGCAGAAGGTGTGGTGGGAGGGGTGAAGTGCAGAAGTCATAGTGGGAGAGGTGAAGCCAGTGAGAGCCTCGAATGCCCCTTCCTTTCCTCCTCGTCAGTCTCTGGGCTTGTGGGCACTGCTGGGAGGGCTCAGGGTGTAGTTGGTGCCGCCCTTGTTGTCCCAGTACTCCCCTTGGGATAAGAATAGGTCCAGAACCAGCCTGCCTAGTCACTTGGACATACTGCCTTTGGAAGGCAGTCATCTTTGCCCATGCAAGGATGTTCCACTGCTTGGCTCCATCCACCCACTTGTGCTCAGCCCAATCAAAGGGTGGGGAGACAGACCCCTTTGTGTTTTCACTGGACAAAACCCAAAGGCACACGCTGTTTTGAGGGATCCCCTCGAATCGTAGAGTCCTAGAGTTGGGAGAGACCAGACCCCAAGGGCATAGAGTCCCACAACTGTCTGCCCTGCAGAGACATAGGCTCAAAGCATCCAGGGGAAGAGGCTCAAGTGCAGAAGGTGTGTGGGGGGGGGGGGGTGAAGTGCAGAAGGCATAGTGGGAAGGGTGAAGCCAGTGGGGGCTTGAAAGCTCCTTCCTTTCCTCCTCTTCCTCAGTCTCGGGGTTTGTGGGCACTGCTAGGAGAGCTCAGGATGCTCCATTTCTTGGCTCCATTTACCTGCTTGTGCAAGAAGCTGCTTGGCCCAAACCATCAGAGGGAAGTCAGATCCCTTCGTGTCTTCACTAGACGAAACTCAAAGGCACAACCTGTTTTGAGGGATCCCTTTGAATGGTAAAATCCAAGAGTTGGGAGAGAGGAGACCCAAAGGCACGGAGTCCCATCAAGTGCAGAAGGTGGTGAAGCCAGTGGGGATCCCCAATGCCCCTTCCTTTCCCCTCCTCCTCCACCTCCTCAGTCTTGGGGTTCGTGGGCACTGCTAGGAGGGCTGAGGGTATTGTTGGCACCGCTGCTGTTATCCCAGTGCTCCCCTTAGGACAAGTATAGGTCCAGAATAGGCCTGCCTAGTCACTTGGACATACTGCCTCTGGAGGACAATCATCCTTGCCCTTCATGAGGATGCTCCATCCACCTGCTTGTACAGGAAGCTGCTTGGCCCAATCAATGAGAGGGAAGACAGACCCCTTTGCGTTTTCAATGGATGAAACCCAAAGACACAGGCTGTTTTGAGGGATCCCCAATGGTAGAGTCCTAGAGTTGAGAGAGAGGAGACCCCAAAGGCACAGAGTCCCATCCCATAGGGACATAGGCTCAAAGCATCCAGGGGTGGGGAGGAGGTTCAAGTGCAGAAGGCAGTGAAGCCAGTGGGAATGACCAATGTCCCTTCCTTTCCTCTCCTCCTCCTCAGTCTCAGGTATGGGCACTGCTGGGGGGGCTGAGGGTGTAGTTGGTGCCACTGTTGTCCCAGTGCTCCCCTTAGGACCAGAGTAGGTCCAGAATAGGCCTTGTCTAGTCACTTGGACATAACTTCCTCTGGAGGACAATCATCCTTGCTCATACGAGGATGCTTCCCTTCTTGGCTCCATCCATTTGCTTGTCCAGGAAGCTGCTTGGCATTTGGGAGCTGTGAAGCCAGTGGGGGCCTTGAATGCCAGTGCCCCTTCCTCTCCCCCTCCTCAGTCTCGGGGCTCGTGGGCGCTGCTGCTGTTGGCGGGGCTGAGGGTGTAGTTGGCGCCGCCGTTGTTGTCCCAGTGCTCCCCTTGGGGGCTCCGGCAGCAGACGGCGAAGCGGACGACGGTGCCCTCCTCGAGTCCCGGGGGCAGGCAGAGGCTGAAGCTGAAGCGCTCCACGGAGGAGGAGGAGGAGGAGGCGGAGGAGGCGGGGTCCTGCGTGGGCTCGGGGGAAGAGAGCGGCGAGGCGGCGGCGTCGAGGAAGGAGAGCCACTCGTTGAAGGTGTAGCGCACCGTCACCTCCTTGGGGCCCGGGCCGGCCTGCACGCGCACCACGCCGCTGGCCTCGGAGGGCGCCCCGGCCACGCAGCTCCCGGAGGCCTCCTCCAGGCTGACCGGGCCCGGGGGGCAACGCTGTGGGAGGGGAGGAGGAGGCTCCAGGAGGAGGAGGCGCACGGGGGGCGGCTCGGGGGGCGTGGCGGCGGCGCGGAAGGAGGCGCGGAGGGAGGCCAAGGCGGCGCTGAACTGCTCCAAGTCCTTGTGGCGCATCGGGAAGCTCTGGAGGCGCGAGAGCACGGCGGGAGGCACGCGCGGCTCCTCGGCGGCGCTGAAGTGCTTGACGCTGGCCAGGCACAGGCCCAGCGCGTCCGCGAACTGCACCCGCTTCTTCGTGCACTTGGCGCAGCACCCGGACGCCCCCGCCGCCGCCGAGGAGGAAGAAGAGGGGCCGCCCCCTTCCTCTCCCTCCTCCTCTTCTTCTTCCTCCTCATCGCCTTCCCTCCGAGGGAAAGTCGGGCTGGACGGCAAGGAGCGCGAGCGCCCGCGGCGGCGGCGCAACTCCCGCAGCGCCGCTTCCTCCTCTTCTCCCACTTTCTCCTCCTCCTCCTCCTCCTCTTCGTCTTGCGCCCCTCGCCATGGAAGGGCCTCTACCAGCTGCCCCAAGCCCAGCACCGCCGAGCCCCGGCTCTCCATGGCATGGCGACCCTACTCGCGCCGCTCCATTCTCGCCTCCAGAGTGCCCGGAGAGAAGGGGGCGCGCCGCTCTCCACCGCCTCTTCGCTCGGCCTTCCCTCAGGGTGCGGGGTGGGCGGGGCTAGGTGGGCGGGGTCTCCCACAGAAACCAATCAGGAAAGGCCTTGACCGCGGGAGGGGAGTCGCTCTCTCCCCCTCCATTTCCTCAGTATAAGCTTCTGCTCTGGCTTCTCCCAAAGAGAGGGGTGGGCGGGGCCTCTCACAGGAACCAATCGGGAAAGGCCTTGGCTGCGAGAGTGGAGTCGCTCCCTCCCTCTCCCTCACTTCCTCAGTGCAGGCTTCTCTGCCTTGCCTGAAACAGCGAGGTGGGCAACGCCTCCCAAAGGAACCAACCGGGAAAAGCCTTGTCCGCGAGAGGGGAGGCACGCGCTGCTCGAAACTGAGATCTCCTCCCCGCCCCTCTGGAGAAAAGAGACCTCTCTGCTGCCTTCTCTCAAAGAGCGCTGTGGGCGTGGCTAGTTGGGCGGGCCCTTCCACAGGAACCAATCGGGAAACGCCTTGGCCGCGGGAGGGGAGTCGCTCCCCCCTCACTTCCTCAGCGCAGGGCTCCGCTCTGCCTTCTCTGAAAAAGCGGAGTGGGCGGGGCTTCCCACGGGAACCAATCTCGAAAAGCCTTGGCCGTGAGAGGGCGGGCCCGAAGCGCCCCATTCGCCGGCCTTCCCCTTTAAGGGCCTTGACAGAGAGGGGCGGCAACCGGGGAGGAGGGGTAAGTGGGAGTCTTCCCTTTCTCCCTCAAAGAGGACGTGACAGGGAAGAAGCGGCCGTAGGAAGCCACCGCCCACTCCGCCTCTCCTGGTGGGAGTGGGGATTGTGCCCCTCCCTCTCCGTTAGCGTTGGGCCCAGTTATGGGCTGATAACCTTACAAATCTATCTATCTATATATAGATGCTCTGTTCGTTTTGAGTGACATCATAACTCAGAATCCACTAGACAAATTTCCACCCAATTTGGCCACAAGACACCTACTAACCCAAGGAATGACCATCACTTAAAAAAAATATGATTTTGTCATTTGGGAGGTGTCGTTGCTGCAATTTATAGTTAACCTGTAATTAAAGAGCATTCCCAACTCCACCAAAGATGGAATTGAACCAAACTTGGCACACAGGACTCCCATGACCAACAAGGTTTGGTGGGCATTGACCTTGAGTTTGGAAGTTGTAGTTCACCTACATCCATGGAGCACTGCAGACTCAAACAATGATGGATCTGGACTAAACTTGACACGAATACTCAATATGCCCAAATATGAACACAGATGGAGTTTGGGGGAAATGGACCTTAACATTTGGGAGTTATAGTTACTGGGATTTATAGTTCACCTACAATCAAAGAGCATTCTGAACCCCACTAACGACAGAACTGGGTCAAACTTCCCACACAGAACCCCCATGACCAACAGAAAAAAACTGTGTTTTGGGTAACCCTTCTGACACCCCCTCATAACCCCCCCCCAGGAATCCCAATCCCCAAGTTGAAAAATGCTGCCTTAAGGCCATCTAGTCCAACTCCTTTCACCAGGGCAAGAAAACAATCAAAGCCCTCCTGACAAAGATCCATCCAGCCATAGATATACATAGATATATATGGTTCACACACACATGCATATATGTATATGACAGATATAGTATAATAGATTTGAAAGGGACCCCTAAAGAAGGACAATTATATTTTGCATGTTCCAGAGTAGGCAAAACAGACAATCTCTACATAAACACTGATAAAGAAACAACAAGAAATACTGTTTACCCACAAGCAGAAAGAAACTACATATATTAGAAACCAACACTTTCTCATTACTTGATTTTCCAGATCAGCAGCAACGCGCGACAGGGGACAGCTAGTGGTTTATAAACTTGTCTGCGGGGCTAACCAAGGCTGGGTCTACGTTGCCATAGAATGCAGCTCAAATTGCATTATATAGGTCAACTCCCACAATTCCTAACAGACGGTAGACTGTTAGGAATTGTGGGAGTTGAAGTCCAAAACACCTGGAGGGCCCAAATTTGCACATGCCTGATCTAACTACACTACATAACAGTGTAGATCCAGCCAAAGGTGGTCTCAAAAGGTCTGCCAGTCCCTACATTTGTGATACTACAGACTCCGTATCCCACCAGATTTTATTGAACTCCAATTCCCATCAACATTAGTATTTATGATATTTATATCCCCCACCAATCTGCCTTCTGAGATGACATAAGGAAGGATGGTTTATAAACTTCACTGCCAGGCTCACCAAGCGGAGCTCCAATTGGTCTATGAGTCTTAACTCTGGCCCAAAGTCCATTACTGTTGTATCTATATTTATTTATACCCTGCTTTTTCACTCCACAAAAGAGACTCAAAGCAGCTTACATTAAAAGCATTTCAATACAGTTTAAAATCCACAAGAATATAACATTAAAACAGAATGAAACATCAATGGCATTTTTTAAAAAACAATTAAAAACCATAAACCCACTTAAAAATACATATAAAGCTGAAACTGCAAAGTTCATTAGGGAATACTTCTGTAATAACACAGAATTGAAGAGGCTATATCACTCCAAGGGTTATTGAACTCCAATTCCCATCAGCATTATTAGCATTAGCATTGTGTGTATGTGGCCTTCAAGTCATCTGTTGACTTATGGCAACCCCATGAATTTCATGCAGTTTTCTTAGGCAAGGAAAACTCAGAGATAGTCTTGCCAGTTCCTTCCACTTAAATAAAGCCTGGTGTTCTTCCAAGTAGTAAACAGTTCTGACCTTGCTTAGCTTCCAAGGGCAGACAGACTCCGCTGCCTTTAGATATTGCTCCTCCTCCTTGGTTTCCATAGTGCCATCACTATACATGGTGTTTCAGCAAAAGAACGAAGCAGTTTGCTATCGTCAGACTTCCAATCTAATTGAGACAGAAAACAAAAGGGGGAAGGTGATGAAGTCCAGCAGATACATATTGCCCTCTTCTCTCACCAAGGTCAGGGAAGTGGCAGTTGAACGACAGCATTTCATCTGCTGCTGGGCCTGAGAATGATGTGAAGAAGGGTAGGATAGCAGCTGTGGAGAAGTCTATATATGGACCACCAAACACAGCATTGCCCAAACACAAATCAAGGAACATGAAAGGCACTGCAGACTAATTCAACCAGAGAAGTCAGCCATAGCAAAGCACCTGATGGACCAACCTGGGCACAGCTTATCATTGTAGAACACAGAAATGCTGGACCACTCTAACAACCAACATGTCAGACTACACAAATAAGCCATTGAAATCCACAAGCGTGTGGACAATTTCAACAAAAAGGAGGAAAACATAAAAATGAACAAAATCTGGCCACCAATATTGAAAAACTCTAAAATCAGGACAGTAAATAAAGAGCAACATTCAAAAAATAGGAATTCCAGACAAAAATCAATCAGGGTGAGCGAATACAACAAAGGATTCCTTCAGCAACTACCCAGGCTTTGACGCTGCAAGGCCAATAGCAACATTCACACTTGCCTCCAACAGACAAGAGTTCTTTCTCCTACCCTGGACATTCCTAGGTATTCCACATATATATAAATCCCACTTGCCTACTTGCCAATAGACCCCTCTGAGGATGCCTGCCATAGATGTGGTCAACATGTCAGGAGATAATGCTTCTGAAACATGGTCATGAAGCCCAGAAAACTCACAGCAACCTGGTGGGATAGCAGTTTGTCAATAGTTGCCCACTCCTGTAAGGAACCCCTAGAAAGTTAGTTGGGGAAGTTAGTAGTTAGGCTTTGTTGTCGTTGTGCTTGTCTTCAAGTCTTTTAAATTTATGGCAACCCTAAGGCAACCCTATCAGAGTTTCTTGTCAGGATTTGTTCAGAGGTGGGTGCGCCTTTGCTCTCTGCAGCTGAGGGTATGACTCACCCAAGGCCATCCAGTGGTTTTCCATGGCCAAGTGAGAATCCAAATTCTGGTCTTCAATACAGTCCAATACTAAAACCATTTTACTATGGTGAGTCTTTTTAAATCACACATATTAAATCCTCAAAGAGAATGCAGGTGAATACTAGGAACTGAGTAAATGTTAATTCTTAGAGTATAGTACTTGTTCTGTGCATGATAATCCTATCCTTCCACATAAAGCAAAAGTCAATTATGGAGCTACCATCCCTTGCAATGTATCTCTAAAATTGCAAAATTACAGAATGCAGATTATATCAATGACTGCTGAGTTTGCAAATAATGTATTTCCATTTTATGCCCAGGCTTGCTTGAATACATTGCTTCTCAGCAGTAAGTAAAAGACACATTCCAAATCCTTAGAAATACTGTGTGTATATATATATATAATTTTTTCTTTAGGTGGTCTCCAAACAAAACACCAGCACTGAAAAATAGCTCTGGACTGCAGATTAAAATGTGTCCCAAAGTATGCCTCCAGCTCTAAAGTAGAATCAAGTTAAGAATGTCACCCCAGGATTTACTAGAGGATTAACGCTCACTGAAAGCGCATCCCTTGATGTTTATGTAGAAGTTTATGTTTATGTGGAAGTTGCTGGCATTCATAAATTCATTAAAGAGCCAGTACAATGTACACATGTAGTGGTTTATTGGACTAGGATTTTGAGGTGACCAGAATTTAAATTTGTTCTCAGTTATGGAAACCACTGGGTGACCTTGGACAAGTGATGCTTTCTCAGCCTCAGAGGAACGCAAATGAAAATCTCCTGCCAAGAATCTAGCCAATAAAATCCTATGGTATGATCTCCTTAAGCCAGAGTTGAACTGAAGGCATGTAACCGTAGCACATTTCACTGCCTATTACTTAGTACTAGCTTGGGTACTTGGCATTGTCCGGGAAACTTGAAAAAGTATTTTTAATGGTACAAAATGCATAAAATTGTGGGTGAACTACAACTCACATCATGCCAGATTCACCCCAAGAAACTCCATCAGTACTTAAAGTTTGTTATGTTATGCAAGTTTGCTCTAGATGCATCAATGGTAGGGTTCAGTGTGCTCTCTGAATGTAGGGTAAAGTACAACTCCCACTGTGGTGAGTCAGTCTCCTCAAACCCTTCCAGTAGGTTGAGTTAGTCATGGGGGCTCTGTGTGCCAAGTCTGGTCCAGGTC